TCAGGTGAAAGGCGCCTTGGGCACTGATCCATGGGGCGGGGGGAGAAACTTCGCTTCGAGCACCCGATTCACTCTTCTGTCCTAGCCAGCTTTAGGACCTCGGCGGTTCCGACACGGCGCCTCCCACCCGTTGCCTTCCATACAGCAAGACATCCGAGCACACAGACCAGGCAGAGGATGCTGCGCGGGTGCCTGAGGGCGAGTCCTGCCGTGTTGGCTCCGCTCTGGGGTTCAAAACCCGGTAGCACCCATCTTGCAATCTTGAGTTGCAATCCTGAAGTCCCATCTTCCTTCCACCGCCACCCGTTTCAAACAGACCGCCCAGCTGCGGTGGCTCTCCGGCCCCCCCTTCCCAAATCTTCCGTTGGCCACTAATTCTGCCCCTGGTCTTACACATCGCACGTAGCTGGGATTGGTTTAAACGCGGTTTATTGCCTAGCAGGCTTGGATTTGGACCAGTGGAGCCCTACACTATGGTTTACAGACTCCCTTGGGTGGGATTATACAGGAGGCCTTAAACCAGGGTTTTCCAAAGGGGGCAACAGTGACCCCCAGGGGTTGACGTTGTTGTTATCCTCGGTAGTCCTATTAGTTAAAGTCGTATTTATTAAATTACTCTCATAGAATAAATGTTGGGGGTCAATGAACAATCTGAAAGTTCGTGAAGGGATCCATGTGCTGAAGAGTTTGGGGAGCCCTGCCTGAAACCAAAACCAGTCAAATCACTCGGTAAGTTTAGCACAAGGTGGAAACTCACCCTGTGAATTGCGAACACATCTGAAGGGAGTCCGAGAAGCTACACTGAGCATTGTATTTTGAGGGATTCCTTTTCTTTTTCCTGCCCCCACCCCACCCCACCCTCTCTCCTGAATCAGGGGACATGGAACCTCTGCCACCCACTTCTGGAACCATGAAATAAGGAGCAGTTTTTCTATTCTAGTTCCTTGTTTTCTAACTTTGCAAATTCCATAAACTTGCTTAGGAGTAGACGATTATTCTACAGCTCCTCGTCGTCTCCAGCTGGCAGAGTCAGGGTCTGTGAAACCTGGGAGAATGATGAGAGACCTGGGAATCATGGATCAAGACATCTGGAGGGCACCAGGTTGAAGGAAGAGGGCTCTATCCCTGTTTTTTTCCATAACGTCTTGCAATAGATGGCGACATTGCACCAACGAGTTAAACCTGCTTGTTTTTTATAAGCTACTGTGGAACAATGTTTCTC